GGGTATAGTATTCTTGATTGAAACTGTTTTTCACTAAACACTTTGAATATATGTTCCCATTCTCTCCTTGCTCACATTGTTTCTGATGAGAGATCTGAAATTAGTCTGATTGGATAACCTGTATAAGTAACCTGACATTTCTCTCTTGCCAATTTTAGTATCTTGGCTTTGTCTGTAGATTTGGCCAGTCTGGCTATGATAGGCCTTGGAGAAGATCTTCTTGGATTGATTCTATTAGGGTTTGTTGTTGTTGTTGTTGTTGTTTTTATTTCTTGGATCTGGATATTTGAAGGCCTCTCTAGATTTGAAAAGTTTTCTTCTAAGATTTCATGGAAGAGATTATCAATGCCCTCATCACTTTCTGGGATACCAATGATCTGAACATTTGGTCACTTAATGCTGTCTAGTATTTCTCATATAGTATTCTCATTTTGGGGGGAGATTATTTTCTCAGTTTTTTTGGTTGTTTTTTCTAGATCAGAGATTTTGCATTCAACATCTGAGATTCGATTTTCTGCATGGACTAATCTGCTTTTAATGCTTCTGAGGGAGGTTTTGATTTCCTGAATGACAGCCTTCATCTCTAATAGCTCCATTTGATTCTTTTTTATGGTGTGTATTTTTTCTTTCAAGACATGAAAGAACTTCAACACATTCTGGAACTCATTGTCTCTTTTCTCCTGCATTTTCTGGAGTTCATTATCTTTCAACTCTTGCATCTCATTTAGTTTTGTCACTATGAATATTCTGAATTTAGTTTTGTTACTATGATTCTGAATTCTCTATCAGATATTTCCACGAGTTCTACTGTACTGTGTGTAGATGATGAGGGATTGTTCTTTTCCCTTAGGAAAGAGATATTTTCTTAGTTTCTCATGGTTCTTGTGCCTCTGTGGTGGATTCCTGCCATTTTGTGACAACATCTCTCCTCCACTGTGTTTTGCAAAGTGGTATCCACAGAAAGAGATTAGTAGTTCAGATTGTTTTTTAAAAAAAATTTTCCTTAAAGCAGGAGGTTCAATAAGCATAGAGGATTTCAATTCCTCTAAAAGTATTTGGATGTTTGGCTACTGTGCACGAAGGCCTATCTAGACATTCAGTGTGTGGAGTGAAGCTTAGAGTGGGAAAGTAAGGTTAAAAAAATAAAAGCAAAAAGAAAACTAGAAAAATGCTACCAAAAGAGGTAAAAAAAAATTTACATTTAAACAATGAAAAACGCATGGTGCATAGTGTGCCACATGAACAGGCCAGGACACACTTCAGCTTTCAAATGGCTTCTGAAATTAACAAGTGAAAAGAAAAGGCCCAAGGTTAGGAGAAGTGGTTGGAAAGTTAAAAAAAAAAAAGTTAAAAATTTAAAGAGAGAGAGAACATGAGTCAGAGAGACAAACAGCTAGAGACATCTAGAGGACAGAGGTCGCCCTACCTTGAAGATGGAGTTTAGAGCATAGCTTTCCTCAACAGGCCTCAGCTTTAAAATGGCTTCTTGTCTAAATATCTATTTATTTATTTTTAGAGAGATTTTTGCTGTAGGGCGTGTGCATGCATCAGAGAGACAGACCAAAAGCAAGAAATCAGCCTCCTGGGGGATGGTCATGCCACAATCCCTTCTCCTCCATTCTCCTCTTGGGATTTTGGACACACATGCACACATGCCCAGCATGAGTTTTAAGCCACCAGGTCCGGGACTTGAACTGTGGTCAAGTCAACTGTGGATTACATGGAAGTCCAGTAATGTAACCATTCCACCAACTGCTGGTCCCCAGGCCCTTCATTTTAATCTTTTCATCATTAATGTTTTTTATTCAATTTATGTACTTGAGAGCTTTTTAGACACTAGAATAGACAGAGCAGTGACTTGATCTTCATATCCATCTAAGTTTATTCCACCTCCTTTCTGATATTTCAAGGGACGCTAGGAATTCTTAGCAATTATGTTACACTAGAAATTTTCAACCATTATGTTACCATTATTTTTACTCCATGAAATTGCTCCCATTGGCCTTGAAGTGCAATGCTTGATAGTTCAAGTTTATAAACTCGGTGGGTAAGTATCATGCAAATAGTACATATAGAAACATGGAAGTTTGCTTAGAGAGACTAGCATTTAAGATCTGCTTCAAAAGGGGAAGCAAAGCAATCTCCCCCAATATATCCCTGAAGGCACTTTTCTCACTTCTCATCCAACAGCACCAAGAATGTGTTATCACTTATACTGTTGGGTTTAGGTACTGAGGGCAGCAAATGTGTTGTGCTCCAGAATCACACAGTAGCTGCTTATCAATCATTTATACTCAAGTTCACATTCCATTTTCACAGTCCCACCAGAAATCAGTTCCTTGAGAGAACAGAATGCTGACAGACCATTTTAATGATGAGGAGATGGGGAAATAAGAGGAA